CTGCTTCTCTTCTGAGGAAGGAACCGCCACTGCGGGGCAGGCGACCACGGCGCTGCCGGGGGTACGGGTAGTGCGGGAGGAAATGCACATTCACCCGGATCTTTTTCATTTCCCTCTTACTGGCTCAGTGCCATCGTTTATGATGTTTGAGCAAACAGCCGCTTGAAAAACAAGGCTGATCCATCAAGGACTGAGTCAGAAAGGTTTTTCGGGGAGGAAATGGGATACTCATTTCCTACTCGGAGAGCAGCCTGTTCTGGCAGGAATACAGTGCCCAGACCCACCATTTCCTAAAGGGATCTCTCCTCGTGCCCGATGCCCAACTCCAGCATGCCAGCGCTCTGTTAGCACATGCAACCCCCTTCTGTTAGCCAAAAAGAAACTAAAGGGAGCTTGACACCACAGCCCCAAACTGGTGGTGATGGGCACACTGCTGGGAGGTGCTGGGCAACCCCTCTGGTACGGGGCCCTGCAGAGGGGAGAAAGAAACACACAGCAGATGCTCGAGAGCTCCCAGGGAGCTGGCATCACCTGGGAAGTGCGACAAGGCTACGCCAAGTAGGAAAAGGATCCTTACACACTACCAGCTTCCAAACGGGGACAGGGGTGATGCCGTGGGAGGTCAGAGTGGATGGTATTCATTCCCTGGCTTAATTAGCTCCCTTCCTGAAAGGACGCTCTCCCAAAGGAGTTCATTCTCTCACGTTTCCAGCTCGGCAGCAGACACCCATGTGACAGCGCTTAGAAGCAAAGCTGCGAGCCCCACCACTGCTTCACGCACAGACCGGCACGGGGCAGTTAAACACCACTTAGAAAGTCACAAGGTGGAGTGAGTAGCACGGGCTTACTGCAACAGAAAACAGCCCCTTGTCCTCCTTATCCAAACACTACTTCTGTGGTCCAGTGGACGTCTCTCTGCCACACCTAGCCATCGGCCCGAGACAGATTTGGCATGCAACAAGGGTTTGTCTTTAGGCCACAGGATATTATACATCCTTGCTCTCCCATCTCTGGGTCAAAACACCGAGGCCACCCTCCCATACCGAGTTGCACAAGTTTACTTCCCTTTAAAAATCAGAATAGTGAGCAAAAGGTGAAGTGCTGGGCTAAGGAAGGGAGGGGAAGTACCATCACTGCAGGAAAAATACACTCAGTCCCTCACCACAGGCATAAAAAAATAGCATTTGTGGGAACGACGTCAGTACTGGAGGCAGAAGCCTTCTCCCACGTGCCTGCGACCTGCCCAGCCCCGGGCACCCCCACATCTGTGTTCCCTTCGGCTTACCCGTATTTGGTTTCAACGCATCTTTTCTGGATGACCACGGACAAGCAGAGGACCAGCCCCACGGCAATCGTCCCGCAGATAAAGCCCAGGGCTACAATAAAGGAGTCCGTGCTCCCGGTGGCTGGGGTCGAAGAGGGGGCTGAGGTTATCAATCCTAAGAAAATGCCCTGTTAATGGAGGCAGTGAAAGTCCAGAGAGCTAAAACCAAACCCAGAGGGTGACACGGGAGAGGAGGGCATGAGGACTGGGGTGGCATGGGGACACCGAGCCCCTCCTGGCTACCAAAGCACACTGAAGGTCCCAGATTCATGGCCGACAGCCTGGCCAACGGGGAAAGCATCCAAAGGAGAGTGGAGGGATGCCAAGGGAGGGCAAGGAAAGCACCCTCCCCCCCCCCCTCCCCCGCCACTGCCCAGGCAGGGACGGGCATCTCCTTACCGCTGCTGGGGATGAAGATCTCCACTGGGCTGCTGAAAGGTCCCACTCCTCCCTTGGTGACAGCGGCCACACGGACGGAGCAGGTGGCGTTGGTGGCCACCACTGGCAGGATGGCCATGCTGGCGTTCTGCCGGGCTTCGGTGGAGATGTTCTGCTGGAGAGAGGAAGGGGAGAAAAGCCTGAGCTGGGGGAGACAGCAGGAGGAAAACCTGGAGAGTTACTGAGAATTCACAGAAACACAGAATCATTGTCCCCTGGTCAAGCTTGTGCGTTGCTCTGCTTTCTCGAGCCCAGAGGAAACGAAGCACCAAGCTATTTACGGAGAATAGCCCTGCCGGCAAGAGCTGGATGGGATCTGGCAAGGGCCTGAGCAGCGCTTCCCGTGCAAACCTCGTGCCGCTGCCGCTCTTTGCAGCAGGGCCAGCAGCCTGAGCCAGAGAGGCAGGAAAGCCATCCTGCAAGGAAGGAGGGAAGACATTGCACGCACTGCCGGTGGATTTTGGCCCCCACCAGCCTTCTTTGCGGTTGGCTC